GCATCAATATGGCAAACAGGGACGGGCACATCACATGTGCGCGGGAGGGGAAATGATCCGCTGGGATAACTACCCACGAAGACAAAGAAGCCACAGTGCGTTGCAACGATGTCGATGACCAATAAGCCCGATCTTGAAGGTTAATCCGATGAGTATCCATTAGCTGAGACACAACTGGCTGTAGATCTGAAAGCAGACCGGAACCATGTACATGCCAGCGTCGAGCAAGTTTGCGAAGTTGTGTGGTGAAACGTTGATGCAATAAGTCGACATCACCGAAAAACTGATCCTTCATTGAGGCGGTCATGATTTCAATGTTAATGTCCGCACTGATGCGAGAAAACTCATCCAACATTACTGCGTGACCATGTGCACGGTGTAGATGGCTATCATCGATGTCCAAACAGCGACACGGAAAGGATGTGTCAGGCGCCCATTTGCGCTGCCATGTGCGATAGTTGTATATCTTGTCGCCCAATGTGGCGCTGCGAGTTTCCACAACCCGGATCTTTGGAAGGAAAAGAGAAGGGAACAGATCCCGATGAGAAGCAATCCAGCTTTGTAACCATGTGCCCAGTAGAGCTTTCCAATTTTGGACATGCAGCGGCGGCAAAAGTAGCTGTGTTAAAGTGGTGGGTGGTTGTAGCCGTCGTTTGCGTAGTACCTGGGCGAGGAGCTTCTGCGAGCCGCAATAAGTAGTACAGCTGAGTGGGAGGGAAAGCGGCTGACAGTAGGTCACGCATGACTTGGAACGACGCTCCTGTATTTGATCCCAGCTGATAGAGGATCGAGTAGTGGGCTTGAATGTCATCCAGGGCGTCAGGTCGTAGTTGCCGTTGGAGATCCGGATGTAGTCGTCGTCGAAAGCGCTTGTGCAAGCCGAGGGAAGTGGGCGACGACAACGAGTGGCGTCGAAAATCTACAAGATGTTCCCGGAAGCCCACCTTGCGCAAGATTCTGTGTACCCAGGGCGCATTCAAATGCGGGCGTAGCAGGTATTGCCATTTGCTTTCTTGAACCCACACCGAGGAAACTGGAAGTTTGATTTCCACTGGTACAGCACAGAAGAGCCAGTAAGTATTGGATCGTTTCCAGTAGTGAAGCGCCGGTTCAAAGAAGGCATGCCGTCCACGAAGTAGTTGTAGAAATTTGCGACTGCGTGAGTGTTCACGACGTAGAACATCCTGATCAGTCGCCCCAACATAGTATGGTGTGTGCCATGGGGAAAGTCGAATGTAGACGCACGGTTGTTGGTGATGACCTGGATCATGTATGAAGTCGTAGAGGTCAGGAAATCGCGCCCGCAATGAGCGTAGATGTCGCGTGTCAGCGAAAGCTGAGTGCATGATTTCACACAAGAGAGAAGTCTTGTAGAAGTGAAGGGCTTCGAAGAACGGCGGGATGTAGCCGTGATCCTGTGAAATGAGACGTTGTAAGAAACTGATCAATAAATAGGCAGCGCACCGACATCTGTGAAGTTCGTACCTGTTGGCCACGGTGTGCTGAGAGTTCGACATAGCGCAATTCGGAATCTGGAGGGCTATCCGGACCACAACTAAGACCTCGAGGATGAGACCCAGCCACGGCAATTGTGTGATGGATTCGTACTCCTCAATTGGAATCGACGGTGGTGGTAGTCCAGGGAAACAATAATGCCAGCACGTCGAGAATGTAGTCAACGAGTGCAGAAGGTCGTCCAGCGACTGCCATTGTGCAACATCATCATAGATTCCGCAGTGGCGAAGTTCATCCAACATGGTGAGATGCAACCAACGAAATCTACCACAAGGCGGCGACATGGATACAAGCATCACAGACAATCACACAAGAGGCAATGCAAGAACAAGCAAGTACAAGATCAATCATGTGCAACGCAAACACTTGACGGACGAGTTTTCACCTGGACTCATCCGTGACATTGTTGCCGCTCCGGGCTCATATGAGAACGAAGGTCGATATGATGCCTTCTCATCCACAAAGCAGGCGAGCGGTCACGATGAGGTGACTCAATGCCTTCTCGGTGAGTTTGGTAAGGTACCCGGGTTCAAGACCCCATAGTGCTGCCATTGCACCGAGTGTGGGCGCATCGCCCTTCGGCATGCGCTGCCTGGCCTGAAGAAGCTGCGTCGCCATAGAATCTAACGACTTGTTGCCGTTGAGCCGGGACGGGTGATTGGCCCACTTAACCAGCGACGCCAAAGTGGTTGTTGTGGGTGCTTGCTTGAGGAAAAGGCGAGGTTGGTCACTGGTCCATGTGTAGTACTTGACAACTTCATCCGGCGTGCTGTGCATGGTGAGCAACTGTGACGCCGCCGGTTTGGACGGCGGTGACGACACTCCGTGAAGAGACTGCATGATCCGAGGTTGCACCACGCTATCAAACGACTTGCCATCCAGGGCGGCCGCGCTGGCTGTGGGCAGGGAGCTGGCAGGTGACGAGGATGGTGTGTGGTTGACCGGTGGCGGTGTAACCAACTCTGCATCATCTTTCTGGTTTGTCATCGTGGGCGAGGTCGATGCGCGAAGTGATGCGGAATACTGAGCCTGGAGAAGTTCATGTGCACGATTCAAGTCATTGAACTTCTTGACCATGTCATCGGTCTGGGCAGCAGGTGCGAGAGAGGTGTGATGTTGTTGAAGAAATTGAAGTACCAGGTTGGCCAAATGGTCATGGACTTTGATGCGCTGATTGAAGTCATCAATGTTGAGACCCAGCGTGTTGGCAAGGTCCTTTTCCAGGGTGAGCAGGTTGAGTGACTGCGATCTTCGTAGTAATTTGGAGCAGGTACTCCAAAGTAAGGCCTCAGTGCGGGTGCGAAAGCCTTCCCACGTCACGAATCGGCCGTGTGCAAACGGCCTGAGCAGCCAGTTGGTGAGGCCCCCGTGGATAACCTGAACCAGGCGTACGTCCCTAATATCCATGCCTGACATGTCGCGAAGGTTGCCATGTGGAGTGTTGGCAACAGTCATGGGCAGGCTGAAGTTGTAGAGTTGATTGACATCAAACATGCCGTCTGCAGGTGTCCAGTCAGGCGAGGGAGTAAGCCAGGCTTTCTGAGGACGAACCGGTAGAGCTGCAGGAGGTCCAGGTGAAGGGGTAGGTTGGGGAGTAGTGACCGGTGGTGGCATCATTGGTGGCATGAACTTGGATGGTGTGGGATCAGGAGGGATCGGCATCATGTAGTTGATCGCCGGGTATTGGAATTGCTGTGTGGGGTTGTGAGTCGATTGAAGATTGGTAGGCACCATCGGAAAGTTGTTAGCAGCATTGTAGCCGGAGTTGTGTTGCCATGAAACCAAGTTGTTCCAATCCATGTTCTCCGAGACCTGGTTGTCATTGTGGTCACGTCGGCGTGCTTTGTGAGCTTGAGGGGACGGACTCCGATCACGTCTGCGTCGAGTCCTGGATCTATCACGATCATCACGTCGAGACATGGTGACGCAACTAGATCGGAATTTGCACACTTCCACCTTGAGAGAATCAGACCCGACAATATTCAAATCCATGCAAATGCAAGTCAGCGGCCCTCAACTGCAATGGTCGAGCGAAATGTACAAGGCAAAGCAAATACAAGTCAGCAATCGACAACCGCAATGATACGAGCAACAAGTTCAACCAATGGTCAGGGTAGGCAATGAAAATCGGCAGCTATCAACTGTGGTGAGACGTCACTATGAACTGACGGCTTTCTTCCCTTTAGTGAAACCTCGTTCCTGATTAAATGTGAAATTCCGCTGTTCTATGATACGCACGTTGAGGTCAAATTTTCCGACAGAGCCGGCCCGGGGTCACACAATGGGTACACCCGAGGATTCCCCACGAATGGGGTGTACACACTTGAACTCCAGATGGAGAGTGCTAATCTTTCGAGTACAACTGATGAGTCTCGAGTACAACCGACAAGTCTCGAGTATGATGAGTTTCGGCTCGCAATGTATTCGGCTTCCCTCTAGTGTCGAAAACGTTACCAGAAAGAACAAGAAGCACAAACAGCGCCGCAACCAAGGGGCCAAAAGGACTTTCAGAATCACTGAAGCAGGTACAGGTGTCCACGTCTGGACACCCTTCCCACCTTTGGCAACAGCTTCATTGCGTGCAGTATGCCAAAGGTGCTGCACGCCCCTGCTGCGAAACCGAAAGGGTGGTGACAGGGCATTCTGTCACTCCGCACACACACACACACAGACACACAGACACACACAGACACACACAGACACACAGACACAAAAAGAAGTCATAAACATAGACACAGCCACAGACGCAAACGCAGACACGCACGCGCACAGACACACGCATGCACGCACGTGCATTTATGAGAATATGACAAAGCTAGGATTCCAAATTGGTAGTTGGCGGTGGCTTGCTTCTGAAGCCGGCCCCAAACAAGTTCCTACTTGTGGCACAACCACATATGCATGCACAAATCCACATGACACAAGTCACAAGCGAAACCGGTATAACTTCCATGCAGCCAAAACCAATTATGAAATTGCAAAGGCGCGCGGGCTTTTGATCAACTGGGGTTTACTAACTCAGGATTTGTCCGAAATCCCAGGCCCAGGTTCATGTAACTCACTTCCTGAGTGGGCTGGCCAAAAAAAAAGTCGGAACTTTTTGCTTGCCACTCAAATGGTCTGCCCAAAAGGTGACTCAAGTCCATGAACTCGGGGAGTTAGGAGCCAGCAGGCCTAGGTCCTTCAGTAGAGAGGTTAGAATAAGGGCACCAACTTTGTTCTGTCTATTTTAGTAGGGGAACCCTCCCAACCAAAAAAGTTGGGTGAGAGGTCGGGCACCTAGCTGGGGGACCCAGAAGCCTTTGCTTTCGGACAACCTAGCTGCATATGGGGGTTGATCAAAAGGTCCGAAATACATGGGATGACCACAAGGGAAACCACCCAGGACGACTTTCACCGGGAAAAGTGGCCCTTCGGGGAGTGAGGCAAAGCAAGCCTTTGCTTTCGGATGGCTCAAGCCCCGCTCACGTCGCCCGAAAACCCTCCTTGTCGTATCCCGCGTAGGCGTAGTTCCGCGGGGCGTAGCTGGGAGCGCCGTAGCCGCTGAGGCCACCTGAGAGGTGCCGTGTGGAACGGGGAAGATGAGAAGACCGGACCCTAAGGAAGGTGTTTTATAGGTCCTCCAGTAGAGAGGTTAGAATAAGGGTACCCTTTTTCTGTAGTCTATTTTGGTAGGGGAACCCTCCCCGAAAAAGGGTCAAAGGCCACTACTGGGGGACCTAGGTTTTATATGGGGGGAACCCTCTTTTAGTTGGTTTCCCTTAGGGACACCGCGAGGAAATCCACCTGTTTGGGGGGTCCCAGTTCAAGACACTCGTTTGTTTTTTTCTGTTTTCAACCAAGCTCACCCGGAAAGCACACAATGCGGCGACTGAGAACTTTGACGCTTTCCGCGGAAAGAAAGGAAACTTGCTCTCATCTTGCTGTTGGTTGATATTAACAGGTAACCCAACCCCCCCCCCCCCCCGAAAAGGAAAAACACCTGGCATTGTGGGTTGCCTGATTTTCAAGGGAACTCCCCCCCACCCTCCCAAACAAAAGCTGGCGTTTCTTTGGTTGATGTTAGGCAAACGCATGCCCCCGCCCCAGCCGCGCAAAAACAACAACAAAAACAACAAGCTGCCCTCTTTGCTCTGAAGATTTTCAAGGGAAATCTCCGCGGAAAAAGTAAAAACGGCCCGGAAGTGACTGTGGGAAAGCGCTGGGACTTGGAGACTGAGTGACTTGCCGTCAAAGCTATTCTCGCGGTTCCTTTTCTAGGTTGCTTTGAAGGCTAAACGGAAAAGAGCAGATTTGGGTCCCCAAAACAAGGAGATCAAAACTTACCAACTGTTTGTGGGTCAAAAATAGGTACCCAAAATGGGTTGCCCTGGTACATGGGACCAAAGACTAACAACTGCGGTCCATATCCGGGCGGTTTTTTTTCTTTTGTTTTTTCTCGCATTTTGACCCATACCCCAATTTTCGTTTGTTGCGGGGTTGTGGGGTCTCCGACCTTTTCTTGGCTCCCGCCTAAAGAGCGGGGGCTCCTCCCTTGGTCAGGCGCAAACCCCTGGGCCGCCACACCCACGTGCACGTGCTGGCTCAAGGGCAGCACCGCCTCGGATGCACCGACAGAAGACCCCCGGTCCCTTCAAAAGCAAAATGGTCCAAGCCACCCCCCGAACCGAACGTCGAACGGCTCCATGTTCATTGCTGGGGAAAATGGCTCTGCGTCATCTTCAAGGCAACCCAAAAGGATTGAAACCGGGGAAAGAAGCCAGTTCAGCATGTACAAATATACGGGAAATAGTGGCCCTGCGCTGTTTGCAGCAGCCAAATCAGCTCGGGGAAACAAAGTTGCTGGATGAGAATCGTCAGCGTGTGCCAAGAAGTCTCAATCTGCGAAGGCGTCTCCACTTTTCTCTCAGAAAGGGATCGAAATGGCGAGTGTGATACGCACGAGATGCAAATGGCTAGGTCTCGAAAATGACCAAACACATGGTAAGGATGGTATCATGGTGTTTCCTTGCTAAAGGATATTAGATGCAAAGACTGCAGATTTGGCAGATGCGCCCTTTGTCTTTGCCTTTTAAACTTACCCCTTTTGGGCGCTGGCCTTTTCCTAGGGCTGGCTTTCCGCAGGGCAGGCAACATCCCCACTCGCTTGGCCTGGGGGTTGCCTATCAGCTCTGATTGGGAGGCAGTTGGGAGTTGCTGGGGGCTGGGGGCAGTTGGGAGCCCTTCGCTTTGCCTAGATCAACCCCAAACCACCCCAAGACCCACCCTCATGAAGATCTAAGCCAGCTCCCAACTGCCTCCCAATCAGAGCCAATAGGCAAACCCAGCGCGAAGTGAGGCTGGTGATGCCGGGGATGCGGCAAGCCAACCAACCAACCAACCAACCCACCCAGCCCTAGTAAAAAACCAGCCCTAGGAAAAAAAACACACACACACACCGGATCCTATTGGGCAGTATGGCACAAAAACTGCAAACAAGTAGATGTTGGTAGGTTGTGAAATTGTGGGCTATGTATGCATATCCATATATATATATATATGCTAAGACCCCCTCCCAATACCAAGGTTTCTTGTTTTATTTGACTTGTGAGCAATTTATGAACTCATTGCTGTTTTTTGTGAATAGTACCACAGCGACATGTATGTTTGTAACAATACAAGTGGTGGCCACGTTTGGCTCAAGTCACAAGTTCTCCAACCCAGCCTATGCGTTGCTGCGATTCGTATTCCGCACTCTTGCACCAGCGTTGCAGGACAGCACAACCATTCCTATTGGGACACAAAGCTGTTTCCCTGCAATTCTCACTTCTGCCTCTAAAATCAGAGGTTTTGCGTAGTTGGTGTGTAGAAAGGTAGGTGGGGGTGGATGGCCGCTAGTTTGAAAGCGTCATATAGACGGCTTATGTGTTCGGCTTCAAGCATGGTTTTGATTGAAAACTTTGATGTTTACACTGGTTTCGAGCACACGTAGTAAAGCAACACAATCTGTTTTTTGCAGCTTGAGCCTCAAAAAATGCTAGTCAGGAACCTGAGGCCATCGGTAGGGGGGGCTGATGACCGTACCAATCATTTGGCCATACATTGCACACCAAGCAACACCCCCAAATCCAATTGATTCTCAAATGGTTGCTATACCAAGTATGTTGACCCAACCTCATTTGAGCACGTTTGGTGAAATCCTGCCTTCATGGTTAACATTTCTGAAATGCCAAAGTGGGCCACCCGCTTCGTCACATTTTACTGGGGTTTGAACCTGGGCCTAAGCCCCTTCTCAGCCCAAAAACAACAGAACCTGAAGAAGATGAAAGCTCTGAAACTGGCCAAAAAAGAACAAAACAGACAGAAAATCCGGACCAACAAGGTCCATAGGGCAAACAAAAGAATAATGAATCGCAATGCAAAACCTTGTTTGCAAGGGAGCTCATGTTCAAACTCTATTTTAAACCTACGTTCTGGTTGGACTGGTTTCGTCATGAAAACAAATACCACTATTGTTTAAGCCACATTTAATTTAAATGCATTTGGGAATGAGTTCCTACTTGAAATGATGTTCAGAGGCCAATTGAATTATTGCCTTTAACTCCGATTTGGAAAGGAATTCCTATTTAAATTCTAAGGGAATATAGATTTTCACGTGAAGTATGTCCTTACCAAATTCTATTCAAAATGTCAATTCAATTTGAAGTAACATCTTATTTGCAAACGAATTCACAGTAGATATTTCGGAGGCTCAAATCTCCAGATTCCAAATAAAATCGCGTTCACCTGGATCGAAGATTTGAATATCCCAAACAAGAAATATCATTTGCCACGCAGCAAGCCAACACAGGCTTGAATTTGCCCGAGCCAGTAGCTGTTCATTAAACTGATTAAAATTGTGCATTGAAATGGTCTCAGAATCCAATTTGTGTAGGCTCAGCATTCCCCATTCCCCGCAAATTAAGTTTATAAACTTCCAAGTCTGGTTTATAAACTCTAAACTCTTGGACTCCTGGCAGTTGCATGAGGGGGAGGGGGGGGGGTCCCTGGCAACTCTTGAAGGGGGGGGGGGGGGGGGAGAAGAGTTCTAACAACCACCCCCCTCGCCCCTCCCCCCCTCCCCCCCCCCCTCCCCCCCCCCCCCAATCCAACGATCAAGAGTTTATGAGCCCGACTTGGACGTTTATAAACTCCAACACTGAATTATACATCAGTCAGTTATGTGATCTATACTCATCCAATGACACATAACGATGATCAAGCACTTGTAGTAAGACATGTGTTCTGATCTTTAGCAGGACCCCAACTCAACTCCAGGTTTTCCTCAAACAAGCGACTTTCTATACAAAAAAAAGAAGCAACATGTACATTTTAAAGCAGGAAAACCTTCATATCGGGGGGGGGGGGGGGTCCTACCTATATTTGTATATACATATATATATATATATGTGGCTGTGGCTCAAACATAGGTACCCCCAAATGGCTCCTTGGTAAATGCAAAGAAAGACTAAAACCTGCGGTTTCCCCGTTCGCTCAAACTCACAAAATGAGCCATACATACGTACGCATATATATATATATATGTACATGTATACATACATGGAGAGTACTTTCATTTGCTTAATCCTACTGGGCGGAAAAAAGCAAATGTACAGTAATGATAGGTTTCCTTTAAACCCAACAAACACAAATAAGCAACATGGAAGTATATGGCCATGGGGGATAACCTATGGCTCCATTTTTGGGTGGATGAACATCCATTTGCCACCCCACAGCCATATTGTCCACTGGAAGAAGAAAAAAAAGCATATGTCCAGTAGTGATAAATTCCCCTTCAAACCCAACAAAAATTAAAAAAAGAAAGAAAAAACAACTGGAAGTGTATATGTCGAGATCTTGGTTTGGAGAGGCCGCAACTTGGGCCCCCGGGCATCGTCCATGAACTTGCTGCTGACGCCGCTCTGCGCCTTCCGCCGGATCCTCGAGAGCGCGGCGAGCCCCGCGCGGAGCGACGCGGAAGGCGGCGCGGGGCGGAAGGCGGCCCGAGGTTGGGATAAGCCGACGTGGCTGGGGTTACTCGATTTTTTGACCCACAGCCTTGTGTTTTGGGGATGAACTTAGCTTTACAACCCGTGGTACTGTGGATGGTTGCGACATCCGAAACCGCACCACGAAATGAGTTACCATGGTTGAAACCGTAACGCTTGTTGGTAGTTTGGTAGGGGAATCGAACCATTCAACGGCTTCTCGGGTGCAAAATGGATTTCGCAACCATCCACAGCATCACCAAAATTACAAGGTGCAAAAATGGGAAAATCTCTGGAGGCTTCGTTTTAAAGGGTCGCCTTCGCTTTTACAGGTGGTTTCACCTTGTCGCCGGCCTCCTTTCTAAGGGCCTTCGTTTTACAGGGTGTTTAAGGGCTCCTTGGCTCCCTCTTGGAAGGCAAGTTTGCGTAAGTTTTTGTCCAGGGACCATGAAAGTTGGGAGACGAGAGATCACTCGCTCAACCCTGTGCCACCCACAAGTAGAACCCAAAGCCTCGCTCATTTTTAGGATGGGAATCTCATGTTGGGAAATGGGTTCCATGTTACCAGTAATGCTTGTTCTGCTTTATCCGGGGTTGACGTTCCCGTCCAAAATGGAACCGGTAACCTGACAGAGGGGTCCTGAAAGACGATTTGGCTGGCTCGCCTTTTGTCTGAGGGTATCCCCTTTTGGTCGGCTTTAAAACAAAAGCCAAAAGCTGCTAAAAGAAGAAGAAAAAAACACAACTCCCGGTGGGTTCCATGTGCACAGGTTAGACTCTTCCGACCTCGAGCCCTCGAGCCCTCGAGCCCTTGGGCCCCCGGGCGCTGCCCGGTTCAGCTCCTCGGATTACACGGCTTACCGGAGCGACCGGAAAAAGAAAAACGAAAAAGAAAAGAAAAAAAAAAAAAACGAGGGGGGGGAGGCTTGTTTTTCCCGTTTTTTCTCCGCGTCCACGTTCCTTGGGTCTTGGCAAACGGCTTTCTTCGGACTTCGGAGGGTGTTCTAAGGATGCCTTAGGCTTTTCTGAGGGTTTGCGTTGGGTGTCCCTTGCCCCTCGGGTTTCATGGTTTGGCCCTCGGCAAAACAGCCATCCTTTCAAACAAAGCGACTGGTAGATGATTGGAACCAAACGGAAACCAGAACGAAACCAGAATGTTCAACCAAACTGACCTAGAACATACGGATTCGGTTTCGGCAATCCATTTCACACCCACCTAAGAAACCATGGGTAAAACCATAACGATTGTTGGTATTTATGGTGTTTACAGGGGAATCATCATTCCAGGGTTTCTTAGGTGGTGAAGGATTTCGTCCATCCACAGTACGATGGATGAAACTCGACAAATATGGGGATAAACCGCGGAAAGTTCCAACTGGTGCCGATCGGCGCGGATTTTGTCTTCATAGAATCTCACGCGCCAACACGACCGACCGATAGACGTCACGAGCCGCTTGCCTCATCCCACTGATCCAGGCCGAAGTGCACCCCCAAGCCTCCGACATCGGAGACGTCGGAGGCGCGGCGGTCGTTGGTTTCGGAGGGAAGCCAAAAAAAACACCGAAAAGCCAGCCAATTTGTGCGGGTTCCGGATCCCACCCAAAAGAAGACTGGAATTGTCTGGGAATGAATTAATTCACTGGTTTTGGAACGAAAACAGCGTTCGATAATTATACCTTGAAGCCATGTAAAGGCGGAAAATGGGCGAGGCATATATTTTTTCTCGGAGCTTGGGGGTACTCTCCAGACCTGTCCAAACAATGAGTCTGCTCGGACCCTGACAATTCCCTTCAAAAACAAAAACAAATGCCTCAAAATGTCCGTGTTGGTTCCAAAGGGAAACTACCACTGCTGGAACATATTTCATTTTTCAGGGGACTTATTCGCATAGGGTAAGGATACTGACGAACAAATCCATTTCGCACCACCTAAGATTGATGAGCCCATAGAAAGTTTGGTCTTTTTTGGGGGTGGGGTGGGTTGGCGTCCCTATTTTGAGAGAGAAAACAAATAGTGAATGTTCCATCTCCGGATGTCATTCTGCCGCCGAGCTCACCGTTTTGTGCGGGTTTATTTGAACGACCGGGGTCCCCCGGACACCGGCCCTGTCAAATCGGTTTCTGGGCCTGTGAACTTCGGCTCGGACGGAAGGAAAACCGAAGTTTGGCTGCCTGTTAATTGGTGTGGGGTTGTCCCTGGGTTTTAGTGGGGATTCCCAGCACTTTAGTCGGGGAACACCCTTTCGTACTAAAAAAAACAACAACAGGGCGGGGGGGAACGTTATTCATGCGGGGTCGTAACATTACGGCGGACCCGGCCTAGCAGTCCGTGCTGCATCAACGAGGAGAGCGTAAAGGCCTCGACATGGCGAGGACTCAGAACGGCTCACGCGCGCGGCGACGCATAGTTGTTATTGATGGAGCCACTTGAATCCGTTCAAGCATCAAACCCAAATCTGGTGGGTTCTGGATGCTCTTTAGTTGCCACCTGAGTTGGGGGGGTTCTGGTTTTCTTATGGTTCTCAAGGGCCGAATCGTTCAATGGCGCCTAGCAAGCCCTATTGGGCTCCGTTAGGATCAAGTTGGAGATTGGCTGAACAATAGATATCCAGTCCGAGCAGTCGAATGGATGGCTCAAGAGTTCAGGTCCGCGTCGCTCTCTCAAGGACCCGAAAAAGGAATTTTAGCATAGCTGCCACCATAGGCGACCAACACGGGCCCCGATGCCCACCTCCATGGTGACGTAGATGAAGAAGGCGGTCCAAAGGCCCATGAGCACCAGGTACCTTCGGCTTCGAACTCCGGGGATTGCCGTTTCTTCTTCCCAACGGAGGGGGGGGGGGGAAACCAGGCAGGAAGAGAGGGCGAGACTTTCCGCCAGAAACCAACTCTGGTGGGTTCAAGAGAAATTGCAGCCCTGGAACGTATCAGAACCTGTTCAGGGCTTATTCGTCCAAAAATGGTTGAAAGGCTCGAAGCTTTGTTTGCCAAAACGGGTCAGAAGGAAAGGGACCGCTTCATCAACATATTTCCCAAATGCGTATGTGTCCAAATACGCACACCTTATAACAATGGCGGCAGCGGGGATGGAAACTGGGCGGTCGTCAGACTGGCGGTGTCTCCGCGCTACCACTGCGTACAACAAGGTTACTAAAACAAGCAAAACAGCGAAGCCGATTCAAAGACCCAGCGCGCCATGCGACCTTGCAGGAATCGCAAGTGCCCACCGGAATTGTCAAGCCGCGGCTCAGACTTCTGCCGACGCGACAAGCCTTCTCCGTAGAAAGAAGAGGCGCGGTGTGCTTCGGCGCGTGTTAATTTTGGGCATTGGTCTAAGAAGAGCACGGCTTGCATGGTTCACCAATCCCCGTCGGCCCAAGCACGAAGGCCATAAACAAATCCACCGGCAAATGATTGGAACTCTCGTAGAAACCAGGAAGTTCTACCAAAAAATGCTTGGTGATTGGCAAATTGGACGTAGAAACTCATGCTGGATGATTGGAACCAAACCAGAAAAAAGGCCTAGGGTCAACCAACCAGCGTCAAAAGGACATGTGGATGGGCAGACTTCTGCACCTAGGATCCCTCATGGTTGACCTTCATGGCTATAACAAATGGATTTTCCTTTCGGATGCTACAAACCTGGTGGGGATCGAAATGTGCTTCTTGCAGCCCTGACAAATTGACCCAAACGGAACACCTGCTGTGGATGGACAACATCCGTGTTGCACCAGGAATGGATCCCTATTCTGCGACAAACCATCTAGCACGGGATGCTCCAAGAGGCTGGAACCCGCTCATCGCCAAAGGGCCCCCCGCCAAATTGGCCTTTCTGAGGGTACCCTTATGCTGGTTTAAAGGGAAGCCATAGCGGACAACCGCCCCTCTTACGCTCTAAGTCCGGAATTTAACTCACGGGCTTCCTTGTCAAAATGGGAATTTGGACCTCCAAAAGAATCCTTGCGGGTGTCCTTCGTGTTTTATTTTTGCCAAAGCCTTTAAAAGGGACTATAGTCTCCACACAAAACGCCAGGCCTCCGTGGCTTCCCATTTGAGCGCAAAACGAGCCCCAGGCCAGGCCAAGATGTTGAAGCTGGTGACGGCACCCACGGCCTGCGGATGTGGTTTCCCGAGGATCCGCTTTTGTGGCTTCCCCCCCTTGGGGGGTGGTCTCTTCTTGTTCCCCCTTTTGGCGCCGTGTGTCGTTTTTTAGGACTTGCCCCCTCCCCTCCCCCTCCCCCAAAAAAAAGAAGCGAACATATGGCGGGAGGTTTTGCTCTTGGCTTCCTTTCTAAGGGCCAGTTCCAAAGGGTTCAAGCCGGCCATTGCTCAGCCTCCCTCGCAAAAGGAGTTCGGCTTGCATGGACGGTTTGGAGGTGATCCGGCCTTTGTCAAGAGCCAGCCAACTAAGGGTTGCCTGAACTAGGCTAAACGTTTAACTTTGAGTGGGTTAAATGGAAACTACCACTAAACCACTATAAAGCTAACAAGCTAAGGAACCAGATGGCTGGGAGCCACCAAGTGATAGTTGGTTCAGAGGGCGACGTTCCCGGGTGTTGTGTTAAAAGATCAGATACAATCCTCTGGATGAATGCAGCTCATGTCTCGAAATATGGAGGCCATTTGTTTGGAGTGCTTTAAAAAGAACGCTCAAAGGAATTTCGCCTTTGTGAGGAGGATCAGGCCCAAGCCGTAAGGCATCAATGAACCCAAGGGGTGGGAGAGTGGGGAATCTATCCTTGACAGGGCTGTGGGAAATGGAATCCACTTCTGTGATACAACAAAAAGGCTTCGCAAAGACCAACTTCCCATAGAAAGGGGGAGATTCCCTTGTGTCACAGAAGTGGGCATAAACCCCTTGATCCTTGAGCACTCCCATTCATTCAAGAGCCAAGGGCTGTATCACCCGATGAGAGAACCAACCGCGTAATGGCTGTGTCTTTTTGTTGAGGCTACCCCTGTTTTGGTGGCTTTAAAGAGAAACAAAAACCCCAACATTGGTTCCTTGTTTCCCTTTGGTGTCCCCCCCCCCAAAAAAAAAAAAAAACGGACCCATTTGTGGGTTTGTCTCTCTTCTTTTTTCGGAATCGGACGCCCGAAATGGCTAAGCGGTGTTCCTTCTGGTTTCCCTTAAAACCCAGCCGAAGAAGATTCTCTACCCTCGAACAGAGAAATGACGAGCCACCCACAAGGAAGTCGCGAGGGTCGAGCAGAAAGGCCGGCGTTTCCACCTTACCGTTGAAACCTGCGAAGTTGATTTCATTTGAGAGGCGTCTCTACATGGGCGGCTCGTCGCTCTTTAGGGGACCTCCAAAATGGTGCTGGGAAAGGACTCCCCCAAATAGGGCATGGCTGGTGGATGGCGTGTGGTTTGTGCTTGAAAACCAAAAGGCAACAGACCACGGGGCGTTCCGTGCCCATTTGAGAAAGTTGAAAGACGCATGCCTTAAAGCGGGATACGAGATAACAGTGCCCTGCGTTCCTCGTGTTCACAGCGTCGCTCAGGACACGGCTCGCCACCAACTCTCGCAGTTCGCCATGGAGTCTGCTCTGGCGTTCTTCCACAGGAGCACGTTTCCCCCCTTCTTCTTGTACCACCTCTTCTTCAATAAAACGGCTAGCCCGCACCCGGTGTGAAAGCAGTCCTCCCTGAAGTCGGAGCCACCTGTATCTCTGCTACATGAATCTCAACGCCAAGCCTAAGCAACCACAACAAGTCTCCCTCCCCGCCCCCACAAAAATGAAGAGAAAAACAGAAATTCTGCTTCAAAACGGGAAGGTCCAAGTGGGGCTGTCTTTGGGGGAACCCCGTGTTTGGTGGCATAAAGAAAACCGCTGCCATTTTGGGGGGTTCCCCTAAAAAGAACACACCTAAGTGCAAATGTTTAAATCAACGTTGATTATGGGCGTTGTTTCTTTGACCGATTCAAGGGAACCTCCCGGAAAACCAAAGGGAAACCAAAGGGAAGCCGCACCTGATCGATGCCCAAAATGAGCCTGTCTCGGTCTGTCTTGGCCTATCCCCCCCCCCAAAAAAAAAAAAATCAAACAAAAATGAAAAAGCCACGCAAAAAAATAGGTTGTTGCTCAATATTTTTGGCTTCCCTTTAACCCATCCCAAAAGTTGGTACCAACTCAAAACCACCCAAGAGCATCGACTTTAGCGTCCACCCGTAATTCCGGTCGCCTCCTTGGGAAAGCTGTCGAAGCCGGCGAGGGTTTCCTGTGGGGACGAGTCACTTCGCTTCTCCGGGAATCAAAAGGTGGGTACGGGTCAAAATTAAGCCAGGCGACCGCAGGCTTTCGTCCTTGGTTCCATTTACCAGGGCAACCCATTTTGGGAAAAACCCTATTTTGCAACTTGTGTTTTGGGGATGAACTTAGCTTTTACAACCCGTGGTTCTGTAGATGGCTGCGAAATCCATTTCGCACCACGAAATGAAACCATGGTTGAAACCATAGCGTTTGCTGGTATTTGCAGGGGAATCGAATCATTCCAGGATCCTTAGGTGGTGCAGGATTTTGTCCATCCACAGTATGGTAGCTACAACTGACTGTTTTGTCCAGCCCCTTACTGAACATGAACAGAACAAAAACTTGCCAGCAACAATGAACTTAAAAGAAAACCACTGCCAAATGCGCAACATACCGGGGATGGACGAAATCCATTTCCACCTAGAAACCTTGGCATGATGATTCCTCTGTAGATACCAACAAACAATGGTCTCCCATGGTTTCAAAGAGGTGTGAAATGAATTTTGCAACCATCCACGAGCGTCGTTCTCTCATTCCCTACACCAGCTAGAGTGTTGGCTGACGAATCCTTTGCGACAACCGAAAGTGAAAACTAGTTTTTTTGCGAAACCAATACCCAAACGACAGAAGATGCCTTGGGTTTCACCATGCAATACCCAGCGGTTCATTCCTGAAGCCGGGATTCATAGGCCAGTCACAAGTGGCAAAACTCCACGTTTTACTCTAAGGACTGGCTGTGCCAAAGAAAGTGGAAACTTCAGGCCTTCATCAACCACTTCTCTGAGCCCGTTTTGGGGGTGTCCCTTTCTGCCTCAGCAGCGCCCCCAAACATATGACATTTGAGCCACAATCAAAGCCCGGGTAGATGAAGGTTAGTAAGGGAAAGACCCAGCCAGAAATAGTTGCGGCCGCCTTCTTAATTCTTTACATGGTTCTGGGATTACGACCTTTTCAATACCGGGTATTGAGCAAGTGACTCATTTGTCTCTTCCATAGGCCCCGCTCTGCTCCCCAAGGTAAGGCCAAATTCCACCGCATCGGCACGAGGAGCACAGGACACCTCCGACCAATGGAAATTGGACGGGACTGACTTCTAGATTTCATCAAGGAAAGCTGAAAGAAAATTAGTAAGACTTGCACCTAAGTTCTTGCTGCGAAATCGTTCTTGGAATGAGAGATGTGGCAGGAACCCAGGCTTTGGCCCCCGGAAAGAAAAAAAAAAAAAAAAAAAAAAGAAGAAAAAAAAACACCCGTTGGATGGTTTATTTCGGGTCGTTCCATTTATCCCTCCCTGCATCTCTCGCACCAATCGGAGGCAAACTCTTAGCTCCCCAAGTTGGAGCCCAAGTAAAGAATGCCCATCAGTCGCGATACGCGAAAACTGGGCTCTAAGCCCCGCAAGATTTTTCGGTGCAAACGATTCGCAGTCGGAGCGGAAAAGGATGTTGGCATCGCCCCGGCCCCGCCTGCACACCCAGGCGCAATGGGCTCGGGGGCAAGAACCTCCGAGCTTCCCAGCCCCCCCAGCCCCGGTTTGGAGGTGATCCGCGTCCAACGAGTTCTCAACCAGAACGGGCTCGGATCCCGAACTTTGGCTCTGGATCTCTGTTGCCGGCCTTGCTTGATCCATCCGGAGTATCCTTTGCGCCAATCTAGCCCGTTTCTTCGCGTGCGGCAGACACATCCAAGATTTCCAATGCAAAGCCCTAGCCGCGCTTGGTCCTGGCCTAGAGGCACAACCTCAGAGCGGTTGGGCTTCCTGTTTCTGCGTTACGGAGAGCCACACCCCAAAACATTTCGGGCCGAGTCGGATTTTTTTCCGCAAGAGACACACCCAAATGTCCAGCCTAAACATCACCCGAGGCAAGTCACATCAAAAGGCTGTGGCTCAAAAATGTGGTACCAAAAGGTAAATGTAACCAAAGACTAAAACCTGCTGTTGGCCGTAGCTCTTTAATTTTGAGCCACCGCCCATGCATTCTGAAGGTGATGCGGCCAGGTCCACCCGCCAAAGTGAGACGTGCTGATTTCCAAACTGCACACCTTGGGTTTTGTATTTGGAGGCCCCTCGATTGCGTCCCCGTGAAAACCACAAAAGAGAGGATCGGAGATGTGAACTCGGGGAGGGGGGGGGGTCTTCAAGCCCTTTAAACCTTCGAAGAGAGCGACGACAAGAGATGGGTTCATTGGCTGACTCATCTTTTTTACCATCATATACAAGCCAACGTTGACAAGGAATCCATCCATCCTTTCCTTTCATGTTTGCCTGTCTCTCCATCCGTTCATCAGCGAAGAACATGAACAAGAATCAGATAGGAAATTCGGAAAGGAGACTGGTTGTGTTGTGTTAGGCAAATAGTGCGTGGGGAGGTGTTCTCACGAGGAGAAAAAAAACACGGACGGGTTGCCTGAAGGCTTCCAGCCATGGAGGTTTGTCTCCAAAGGGCCTATGGGGTTGAGCACTCTGCAAGGCGATGTCGCTTCTGGCTAGCAGTGAAATGGAGGACTTGCGGGGGACTTTTGGACAGTATGCCGACATGAAACCAACCTTGGCGCCAAATGTTCCACCCCCCCTTGGAATACTCAGGTTGTTGGCCAGAAATTGACATTTTGGCTGTAAAAACCTGAGTATTTCAAGGGGGGGTTAGCATATATATATATATATATTATAACTTATTTGAGCCACAATGTTTGTTCCGTCCCTCGCTCGCATAGAATTGATTTTGGTGAGGCCTTTGTGTGCCCCATCCCCTTGAAAAAAATACCGTTGATCGTTGCTCATGAAGAGGTGTTTCTCCAAGTAGGAGTCCTAAAGTGGTTGGTTTCCTTTTGGCGTCCCTTGAAACGCCAAAAGGGGCAAGTGCATGGTGAGAAACTGGCATTTGCAACCAATGCAAATCGACCCTTTGACCCTTCATCAAGTTTTAGTCAAGTTGATAGCCTTTCACATCACCTGTACCCCGAAAGGAACCCCTCTGAAGACACAGAGGTCGCGGGTGCAGATGCTTGGCAGGACCATGGCAAACACGGGTACATGTTCTTTTTGGAGGGTTCCCTTTTCACCCGTTGAAGCGAAACCCAAAGAAAAAAACAACATGTTCTTCGTTACCCCTTATTGTGACACATCACATGATGGTGGCAGCTTGCGACGTGATAATTCCTAGCCACGCGAGTTGTACAAATCAGTCTTTGGCGACGGCGCTCGGTGTCCTGACCGTTGCCGCACCAAAAGTTAAGCAATATACGGGGCAGCAGAACTACACTCGTTTACCCCTATCATGACTAGTTGGTCGCGGTTGCGCTGGTCGCCTGGCATCAAACAGTGCTTTTCTTCTCAAGTGCTACTTTTCCCCCTGTCGACTCAGCGCAACGTGGAATGATTCCGCTCAGTCCCTGCAATTCTTTTCACGGCTCGGCAGGGATGTCTGCTGACGGCCCAGCTGAAATGTGTCAGCAAACGTGAGGCGTTTCTGGCATTTATTCTGGTGCATTGTGTTGCCCGGAGGCAGCGCGCATCCCGAAGGTGAAGAACTTTCATCCGGCGAGCCACGAACGACAAGAACTCTGCAGACGCGTAGCTGATGTCAGGAGTTCCATTCATGGAACTCAATCGATTGATCGTGAATGGCAGTCATTGAAAGCTTTCTTGCCTCCGCAGCTCCACCGCAAATGTTAAGGTTCATTTGAAACAAAGAACTTACCAATTCGTGTGGAGACGAAATTTGGGACCAGCTTTGCCTAATGCTTTGTTGGGAGCATTGGCAGAATAGTTTGTGGTAACCGAACGAAGTAGTCTTGCATGTAGATGCCTGCCACGCTGCAGGTGAAATGAGCAACAACCCAACGGTTTGACAGTGACGAAAACACCAGGCTACTAGCGCAACCGTGACCGACGAGTTGCATAGTCCAGAAGGCTGCTCCCCAGCCTGCTCAGCACGAGGCTCATCATGTTGGAGTCATACCTGACGAGGGTTCGCTGTAAGAACCGGCGCCAAAGATTCTCCCCTCACCGGTTCTACTTCCCATGCGAGCATGAGCGGCCCGGAAACACGAAGCCTTGCACCACGGTGGGATGTTAAATGGTGTTGGGTAACCCCATAGGTATGAATTGCATTGGGGGACCCGAACTGGTGGACACCAAAGTTAGGTTTCAATTTATGCTCGCCATTTCCGGAAATCCCCAAACTGGCTTCCTTTCGGATGCTACACACATGACGCTTGTCAGCGCCTGTTTCCGGCAGATTGCAAAGAAAGCCTCCCAGCTCCGGGCACGTTTGTTTCACCTGGGTCCATCTACCCTTGTCGGTAAGTGGAAAACACCACCATGTAAAAACCCAGAGTTAACTGTCCTCATTCCACAACCACTCAATCCTCAAGGTTCCAGGCTAGTTTGATTGCCCCTTCTGGGCTGTTTGCCATCTATGTAAGTCTGTGCGCAAACACACATCCTTATTTGAATTAGAATGCCACACATTCCCCTTACACGTGTATGCATATATGTATGTGGGTATAGTCTCAATTCGCGCCCTTCTCCACCTGGGACTATCGTTAAGAGTTGCTTGGGGCTCCACCATACGCTTTCCGGGGGGTGGGTGGGAGTGTGGGGGATGGTTGCGTTCCCTTCCCGAGGCAAACAGGCTCCTGACCCAGGTCGGCCCTGCGTCTGGGGGTGGGGGGGTGTTTGCGTGCGTCTCCAAAACAGGCCCCGGCCCCAGGTCGGCCCTGCGTTTTTTGGGGTTGGGGGGGGGGGGGGGGGGGTGGGGGGGTGGGGGGATTGCGTGCATCTCCCGAGGCAAGCGGGCTTTTTTGGTTGTTGCATGCAGTTACGCGAGCTTGCGGCTCAATATGGAGCACTGTGCTGCAGCCCTAGCCCTGTCGTACATTCCTTTGCTTCGACTGGCAGGTGTTTCATGTCCTCATTCGGATTTCATCAAGGAATGCCGACACAAGGAAATTTTCGCAGTGCTCGCACTGGCTTCCATAGCAATGACGCAGAAAGTGAGTTCAGCAGATTTAAGCTTTGGCACAGAAAGAATGGAGCCGGATGAGAACCATCAATAACAAGGATCAGCAGAAGAAGAAAGCTCATTTAGACGCCCATGTGGCGGAGTATGTCCTCCAGACTAACGAGGGCACCGATATGCAGCTGACCATGGGCACTGTGCTTAAAGCATTTGTCGTGGCAGCTGATTCACGCCTGTATAAGCCCATGGCATTTGCAGAGTGAAGGCGGGAAACAAAGGTCGCATTGATTCGTTGCGGAGCCAGGGGAATTTCCATTCCGGAGGCAAAAAATGCGTCGTTAATCCCCTAGGGGGCGCATAACGATACTGTACCGATGTATATATATATATATATGTCTGTATGTGCATATATATATATATACATATATGTATGTATATATATATATGCTTGTGTGTATGTGTATATATATATATATATCTATGTATCTTGAGCAGGCCAAAGGAAGTTTAGCTGCAAAACTTCCCTCACACAAAGTTGGCAGGCAAGTAAGTGTAGCAACGAGCAGAAGTTGCAAGGAAAACCTGCGTCTGCTTAAGACTCCGGCAAACAAAACATGCATATTTCCAGTAGTGATACATTCGCTTTAAAACCAGCAGGCGAGTATAAAAGAAATATGCTTAAGCAAATGGAAGGAATGCTAGAGCCTAAAGAAACAAGGCTACCTCTGAAAAGCCGGCGCAACTTGTAAGCACGGAAGTTGTGCATGGTTGTACGCTTGCCGCAAAACTCAAAGTTCTAGAGTTGATTCCCCATTCGTTTCAACCATTATTATTTTCAACAGCCAGCTGTTTCCCCAGGGTTTTGGGTGGTTTTTTTGAAAGAAGGATGCCTGGAAAGAATGGGGAAGGTACCCCTAGAAAAGCAAGAATCGCTGCCCCAAAACGTCCTTTCGGCTTCTTGTTGGCTTTCCTTTAACCCCGAAAAGAAAGGCCCCCATGGTTTGTCACCAGTGCTCCCGATTTTTCTTTCGGAGAGGATCCGGATCGCCCCAATCGAAACCCCTCCGGCTCTCCTCCGCTCCCAGCGCCAACCCAACCAACGGGCGCATGTTGCAGGTGTAGAAGAAGGTCACGTCGAAGACCAGCGCGCCACACCGCAGCAGCGAGGTGGCCTCGGGAAGCTCGGGGGCCTAGATGAGGGCGGTTGACCAGAAATACATACAGTCCAGTTCTGCATGTGCGTGCGCATATGCATAATATATATATATATATATGTGAATATGTATATATAGAAATATGAATATATATATATATATCTATATATGTGAATATGTATATATATATATATATGTCTGTGTATACAATGTATATATTTACTCCGCACGTGATATCCCAACCACATACCCCTAGGTGCCCGGATAATATACGCCAAAAGTATTCGCCAAACCATAGACACAAAGCGACACAACATAATTGAGGGTTAGGGCAGAACTCCTGGTAGCTCAGCCAGCGCCTAGCGCTCCCCTACCTAAAGGTAGCGATCGGGTACCTCACGGAAGCAGGTAGCCGGTTACGCGTTGTGACCACCTGCTAAGTACCCCATCGCCCCTTTCGGCAAGAGCCTAAGCGGGCAAATGCCACCGAAACCCAGCGCCTCGCCGCATTCGGATTCGAGCGCTTGCGCTTCGGCGACTCGCGCGCTTCGCTGGGAGGCCGGGCGAGCATGAAGAGGCTGAAGCGCTTCATGTCCAGGTCCCTGAAACGAATGGGTTTGGAGCCCGGGGCCTGCGATTCGTAGTTGCGGGGCATAAATCAAACCAAAAGGCAACATTGAGGTCGCAACATGGGCCTGGGGTTGGCAAAACGAAGGTGCCCCCACATAAACCGTCGTTTGAGTCAGCCCCTCGGGCTGTTGTCCCCGGAGACCTCCAAAGGGGAAAAGGCCGGGACCCTGATTTTTTGGCAGGTGGTTGGTCCAACACCTGCGGGGGTCATTTTTGGCCCATCAGGTCTTTCTCCGTCCAAAAAACGGGACAGGACGCAACCCACCTAGGTCGTGTCCACCCCGATCCCCGATCCCGGAGCCGAAAAAATAAGAAGAAATCAAAGCGCCCTTGCCCCACGCGCCCTCCGTGCATCGCAGCATGGAAGCCCAGGGGGAAGAGGAGGAGTCCGGACAGCGAGAACTCGGCTTCGCGACAAGTGGCACGCGGAACGGGTTCCAGGTGTTTTTTGTTGAACCCGCAAATCCGCGAAGTCCAATTGATTTTCTAGAAGTTGACCAAAGTACAAACAGTATTTGAACACAAATCGAACTTTTGTAGGATGTTTGATCCTTTCGCTGGGTTCTCAGAAAGGTTGTTTCGCAAACTCGAACGCCGCTGAACATGCAACGAAGGTTTGGCACATGCCACAAGAAACCGAGAGAAGGCGATGCCGAAAAGGTGCCGTGAGCAAAAACAAGAAACCGACAACTATCGTCAGGAGAAACCTACCCGGTTTATAGGGTCTTCGGACCTTCAATCACCTTCCCTCCAAATGGTGTGGATTGGCCCTGCAACTAAATTAATAATGAGTATTTCTGCTGACTTAGTCTCAATTTTGGATGGCCCCTGCAGGTTTGCAGCATGATGGGTATCGATTTTGGGTGGGCCCCTATTGGTGTTTGGCGGCAATATTGTCGGGTATTCGTATACGTGTTCACTTTACATTCAAGGGATTCCCCCATTGCCCGATCCTGAAAGATATGTCTGCGTGACAAAAACTGGCCTTGTTGTGGGCGCGGGGGCCTTGAACATGGGAGCGTGAAACCACGATGTGAGGGGTCCGACTACCTTGGACACATCGCATCAAGAACCTGAGTCAACATGTCCACAACTTCGATCGTTGGTGATTCGGGAGTTCCCCAATTACCCCTACAAGAACCAGAGGTTCAAAAACCAACTAAGGGCAATGTTGTCTTCAAAACGCTTCATCCTCCATCACTTCCTGAGTGGATTGGCAACAAAACACTCCTAAACTTTTTGTTTGCCACTAAACGGGTCTTCCCAAAAAGAGAAGAAAAAAAAGAAAGCAACTCAGGAGGTAAGACAAGGAGTATCCCCAGAAACACAAGGGGCCCTTCTCGCCTGAATCTCCAAACCTCTTCTCTCCTCTTGGAAGCGATCTATCACTGGCCAGGATCAACAAGGACGGCCGATCCCAATCATGTCACTTCCGTGGGGGTGGTTGCGAAATCCATTTCGCACCACCGTTCAGAAATCCAAAGGAGTGATATTCGGTTCCCCAACGTAAATACCAACAAACGTTATGGATTCATTTCATCGTGAACGAACGGATTTCGTCCAACCATCCACAATATGTTTTTGGGAGCCAAAACCCCACATGGCCATGTGCTTTTTCAGCGGACCTCCAAAATGGATCCGGATTTGAAGATTTCCGCAAAGAAAAACAAAATAGGCTCAGGTGCTATCCCCAACAGCACCACACAGCCCTTTCAGAACCCCTGCTCGGCGTGCATCTCTGGAACCCTCGCGGAACCCTCGCGGAACCCTCGAGGAACCCTTACGGCTCGCGGAACCTTATGAGTTCAAAGAAACAAAGGTAAACCCACCTGAGCGGCTACACGAGGCCTGAGAAACAAGAAACATCCAAAGGAGCAAAAAGAGAAAAAGGGGGCTCTCACATCTGTTCCTAGAAAGCAAAAGCACCCCTACCAATGCTTCGCAGCGAAGTCTCCAGGTCCCGCACGAGCGGTTCGATGACGTGCGCTGTGGTGTCCTGAGGTGCTCGGGGCAGATTTGCTTTTTGTTTTTTGTTTGTTTGTTTTGTAGGGCATGTAGAATGGGGCTGGGTGTCAAAGGATTCAGCAACTGCCCAAGGAACCTGGAAACTACAGGTGAACCCTTTTGGGACCTTTTGTCAGCGAGGCTTTGGCAGCTGTGGCAAGGTACAGTGTATGCTTGCGCACCTTGACTAAGCATGGTGAGAATCAGGTAAGTCATGAGGTCCAAAGGTTGATTCGCTTTAGGCAAGCGAGAAAAGGTGTAAACCAGGAAGACTGCCATCCGAAAGGTTTCAACTTGCTAGCCTTTATGTATTTTGATTATTGCTCAAATGAAGAAGCTTCAGATGGCAGATTCAGAAACTCATAAATTGCCTGCCTTATCCTTCCATTTGCGAATATGTCCCTTCGACAGAGCAAACATGTTTCGAGCGATAGACTCCCTTTAACACCAACGGGGGAAAGCAGAAAAAAGATCTGAAACGCCCATGGATGTATCTGCAAGTGTCCCAATAAAGACACCAAACCAGAGCCACTTCTGAAAAAAAGAGGGCGAGGCAAAAACCAGCCTTCGAGTTGTTTTGGGGGTGACCGTAAGAATACCGTATGGTTGACCCCGCACTACGGGCAACTGAGAATTTTGGATGCGGCAAGCGCCCAAAGAAATCCGGCTTGAAGCTGGTTTTGGGCTGAGCCATGCCTTCGTTTATAAGCAGAACTCAAGCAAGATATGTCCAGAAGTGATAGATTCCCTTTAAGACCGACAGGGGGAAAATATGTTGAAAGCAAAACCACGCAACTCGCATGGAAGACGAACATCGTGCGTTGTCCTTCATGCCGTAGCAGCTAAAGACCTCGAAGCACTGCTGGCCCACGCAGCTGTTCCTGAGGCTTCAATCCGGAAGACACCTCGCTGTGTGCCGTGTTGGAGGGTACCCGTATTGGGCGGGGAAACCAAAAGGAAAAACTGATGCCATGTTTTGGGGGGCGCCCCGAAATGGTGGACATGACTTAGGCGGGGAGGCATGTCCACCAACCACATTTGAGGTGGTTCCCTATTAAACGTCATAGCCAGGTATGTTCACAAAGATCTTAAATTCCGCAGGTTCTGGTCCTTTTCTGAGTCAACCCTAAAATATGGCACAACAGATATACGGCGCAATCTGCACACAACAAGCACTCTCCAAGCAAACATCGAAGGACACACTGCTGCCAGCCAGATGTTGTCCAAGAGGGTCTGGGGCCGTGGATTCGCTTGTTTTTGGGAGGGTTGATGTACATAGTTTTTGGGGAGGGTGATCAAATTGGTCCCTAAGTCAACCTGGGACCGGCGATTCTGGTGTGGATTCCTTTGGGGAGAAGCTTTGAGTCATGAGGTTGGCAACTCGGCTGCGCATGGACAATGATCCAGGATCGGTTGATCAATTTCAGGGGGATCGATTCCTTGCTGGTGCGATAAGTAAGGAATGTGGGAATGAACCAGAAGGGAATTGCCTTAAAGGAAACCACAAGGGATGGTTTATAAGGGTCATTCCCTTATGCCTTGCTGACCAGCAAGATGCAATTGTACCAACACCAATGATGGTTGATTCCTTTTCTTGGGAGGATCGAGCCACGCTTATAAATTCAAGAGTGAAGGTTGAAAAACCTTGCAAGGCAACGAATCTGTGATAGTAGTCCAAAACCTGTTTAGACTTGAAAGAGGATTGGCAAAAGTGTCCCTGCAACCACAATCACTCTTAGACTTGAGCGGGTGAACGAATGCTAGCCAGCCCAACCAGCCAGCCCAGTGGTTGCTACGTTGAGAATAGCAACCTTGAATGAACACCCAGAAAGCTCATCAAGACCCGAACTTGGACCAGGTCCTAATGGAAGGATTCCCTAGCCACCTGTGGACCAAATTATGGGAATGTCTGGTGGTGTCCGGGGGGCGGACCACCAGAATCAGTGCCCCCCAGAATCAGTGCCCGCAACCTCACAACAAAAACGACACGTACATCTATACCCACAAGCTGACAAGCTTCCGAGGGGCTCCCGGCACCTGTTGAAACCACCCCGTTAACGCTGCACCAAATGCCGAGGTTCCGCCAAAGCAGGGCCCCTAACTTTGCACGACCCAAATAAGAGGCCCACATGTGCCTGTGACACATGTAGGATGTATCAGCTCAGAAGAAAGAACAAAGGTGGGTGTGGCTCAAAATTAAACAGGAGTTCCGCAGGTTTTGGTCCATGTTTCCACTTACCAGGGTTCCATTTTGGTACCGGTTTTTTGAGCCACAGCCAGGTGTGTTCAAGCAGAACTCGGCTTCATTGGTGGGGGGGGGGGGGGTTAGAAGCTGTTTACCCAAAAAAGTGGCTGAGATCTCCTTCATAGTTTGGCCCTACTCGGTAGAGTTCTTTTTAGCAAGGTAGGAGTAGCCCATGGTGCACATACTAGTATGTTTGCACCGCATGAGTGAGGTTGCAGCATGATCAATCGCTGCTGTATGCTCTGCAGTGCGCGCGCGCGCGCGCGGCCGCTCCCTTGGCCGGGACCCGCGCGGGTGGTCCCTGGGCGTGTCGAAGTAAAGACTCGCCAGGAGGATCCACCTCGGAGAATCGCACGGGTCTCCGTCTTTGTTGGGGGGGGACCCCCTCTTTTTGTGGTCTTAAGCTTTAAGGGGAAACCAAAAGGAAAATGACAATTTTTTATGAGGCAAACAAAGACACAAAAAAGACACACCGGCATGTACCTGCAAAGAAACAAACCGAGCCTCTTGCCCAAAACCAACCAACTTGCAACAAACCATTTGAGGGGTCCTATTTGGTGCTGTGACACAGCTTCTTGCGCCCACCTTTGGTGGTGTTTCCTCCCCTAACCCTCCCCACCTCCCCGTTCGTAGCAGTTGAACTGTGCACAATCCCAGGGTATCATCCATGCCAACGGGTGCCGCAAGCAAATTTTGTAACCATCCTCATGTCCCACAGGAACTCCCCTTTGCTTCGCCATAAAGCAACTGTGCGGCTTGCGCCCCGCATCGGCTTTCAAGGATCCCCTCAAAACATCACCCGGAAATCCCAAGAAACCAGGGTCACAAGAAAAAGTGCCTCAAGTTGGTAGTTTCCCTTGAAATGATCGCCACGAATAGGTCCAAACCTGATTGAAATTCCGGGATCCCTGAACGCAGGCTCACTTCAAATGAACCTTCCAGGTTGATGTTTAAGCCATCGCGCCCAAAGCTTAGGGCCTGGGGCTCTGGCCGCAGGACACGGACAGCGTAGACCAAGGTCATCACCAAACACACGGTCAGGATGAAGTGCCTACGAGAAGTTGGCCAACCCCCCGCCCAAAAAACAATAATAAAAAAAAATGACATCATCTGTATAAAACATCAGGCGTTCCCATCTGCAAGGGCAGACCCCCAAATCTTGGCCCGCTGCCTAATGAACAAACAACGGGTTTGCAGAGGATGATCCATATTGAGTCTACCTCAACAAACAGAAAGGGGAGACTGCAGAAATGAGGAGACACAAGGTGTAAGCGCGGCCAAATCTTTGATACGCGCGAGAATGTGTATACAAGTCAACAACGCAATGGGTGATACTGCGGATGGACAAAACCCTGATCATCTCCTAAATCATCGACGTATACCTGCAAATCTTACCAACAACCATGTGTAATGCTCCAAGTATGAACATTCATAGTCGCATGGAGAAATATACATGTATGTAGTTTCATGTTCAACCCCAGAGGCAGGTTTTATCACAAAGGCTGAGATTTGCTCACGTTGCGCCGCTTCAGACGCACGGGGAGCGACCTCATTAGAAACGTGCAAATTCAAATCTGCATCTCTCCTGCTCTGTACCCGGCCGCGGCCGAAAGATGGGGCGCAGTGGGGATGGGGCTGGTGGCCCAATAAAGAAACAGGCTTCAAGCCAAACAGCCGAGGGGTAGAAATCATCGTGCGCGCTAACTTATGGAGCACCCTTTGCACTAGGAAGCGAGGGATGCATGATCCGCTCGCTTTGACCCGTCCGACCCGCTCTTGACCGCCGAAAAGGAAGAAGGACATCAAATATATGGGGGTTGATCAAAAGGTCCGAAATACGTTGGATGACTATTGGTTGGGAACCACATGACGAGGTGTGATATTTCAACCACATGGGAAAGGTTACCCATGGTCATTGAGGGGCCGAACAGAATCGACCATACATTTTTCTGCAGTCAGCATTCAAGCGATCTCAACTTTTGTCCCCAAATATGTGTGTAAGAGTCTGGTCCATATTTACTGAGCCTCAGGGGGAGGGGGGGGGGGAAACAGAAAGACCACCGACTTGGAACTTTTTATGCCCCGATCAAGTTCAAAGGAACTCTTTCAAAGGGGCTCCCTCCCTCCACTTGCGACGTCTGGAACAAAACCAAGAACATACTTTGAGCAGACACAAATTCCCATGGAAACCAAAGGAGCCACAAATTCCCATGGAAACCAAAGACCAAAGTAGCCAGAAAATCCCATTGAAACCACCAGGGGAAACGAAAAAAAGAAAACTCCAACGCGAATAGAAGGCTTCGCTGGTGTGCCTGGTTTTTGGGCACCCCCCCAACATGGCTGCAGGTTCAAACCAACCTTAAAAATGGCACTCTCAATAAAAGACACACCCAGTTGAGTCATACTCAAAGCAAGACCCAACACCATGAGTGTTAAAAAGGTGGCCGCACCTATAATGGTTGGGACTATGTCTTACTAAAGTTCATCTACAATGGCTTTGATTGCCCAAATGTTTCAGACATACAAGGTTCACCTTCTGGAATCCCTAGCCACAAGTGGACCAAAACGGGCAAACCAAAAGGTCGAAAGGTCGGCCTTGTTTTGCAAGTGAGCTTATGAATCCCCCCTACCATAAGAGGGAGGGGGTGGGGGGCCCCCAACTCCATTCTCAAGTATTCCCCATAGAGGCTTTGCAAATGGCTCACCAGCTTCGGGGTCGAAATCCCCCCTCCCCCAATCCACGTGCCAAATTGTTCCATGGTTATAACCCACTTTGGTTATAAGTCGCTGTTCAGTGGGTTACGAACTACTCACTACGTGCCCCACTTGCCATGGTTATAAGTCTCCGTTCAGTGGCTGGGTCCTCCAGTAAAAAGGTTAGAATAAGATGGTACCCACCTTTTTTTCTGTAGTGTATTTTAGTAGGGGAACCCTCCCAACCAAGAAAGGGTGAGAAAGGGCCAGCGAATCCCACCCTGAACGGGTCGGAGCCCCAGCCTCCGGCTGAAGCAGCACAAGGAAGCCCCGTACCTGGTGACCCGGACGTGGACCATGGAGAAAACGACTCGAGCAGCGCAGGTTCGCAAATCCACAAAGGGGGTCTCCCTAACCCCAGCACTGCTTCAGAGGTGTGGGGGGGAATGGGGCGAAAGCCTTGTTTCCCGGAAACCCCAACAAGGCTTGAACACTTTAATATAGGCGGCCTTACGAAAACAGCCATGAAAAAAGGCGCTAGAACCTATCCCAAGATTGTTGATTTTCTTTTGCCTTCCGTTTAAAAAACGGAGCCGCCAAAAACTGCCCCCCAAGGTTGCCTAGTTTGGACAAGTACCTCGCTGTGTCTCAAGGCCCCTCAAGATTGGTGTTGGCCCCAGATCAATAAACCCCTGGTCGACTAATAGGGGGGAGCACGGGGGTACATCACTTTGGAACCCCCCCCCAAGAATAGGACGGGTTTATTCATCCGGGATCAACGTTAAACGGTTGATGTCCTTCTGTTTTCCGTTCAGTAAAAAAAAAAAAAAAGCGGCGCCTCTCGCGCCAAACTCCTCGCGCTACGATGGCACATGGTCACATGCTCGAACCATGGGACCGCAGCGATGTGAGCAAACGCTCAAAGGCCTTCAATTGCAAGAGCCATATCATGTTGAGGCACTTGCTCTCAATCGTCCGCAACTTCTCGCAGCCTAGTGCCCTCTGTCTTGTGACCACCTGGCCAGTGGAACTCATGCCAGGCTTTAAGCTCCTTGCTCAGCTGGTTCACACAGTCAGTCTGCTCAACTTCAGGCAGCAAGCGCCTAATCTGCTTCCTGGTTCCAGGCTGCCATGCTGGCTGGAACTAAGCACTGGCCACAACCCAGCTTCGCATCCAGTGCAATTGCCTTGCCCACTTTTCCTCAGGCCCAATTCACTTGGTGAACGAAACGAAGAGAAAAACACGCGCAATGAATGGCAAAGGGTCAGGAAAAGTTTGCCCGTGTTCAGTGCCAAGCTGCTGAGCCGATTGCATCTTGGGTTGGCTGCATGTGTGCAAATAAGATGCAAACAAGTTATTCAAAAAATAGGGAGGGGGCTATGCCCGCGAAACTAGGAGCAAACAAGTGGATCAACAGCCTGCAGGTGTCATGGGTCGTTCCTGGCTTGAGCAGATTTTACTATGGTTGTGAACGGGGCTGTGGGTCAAAACCAATGGCACCATTTTGAAGTAGGTGCACCTCCCATTTCGGTCTATTTTAGTGGCGGTTGGGATGTTCACGGGTACGGGCTTTTGACCCATGGCCAACGGGATTTCAGAGCTTGTGGAAGTCTTGTCTAAGGTTGCTGGGGAGAAGTAGCAAAACATTCAGGCATGGCAACTCTCCACCTCCACGCGTCCCTAAGTCAACCGGGCTCCCATAGGCAGCTGGGTCTCCTCTTGTCACTGGCCCTCTGAGGGTTTCAAGCAATCTGCGGATGGGTAGAAACCAATTGACATAGAACCTGACGTTAAGGGGTCCGGGTTTGGACCATTCTCCTTTTCAAAAAACCCCTTGGTTCCATGTGAATTGGTGAGAGGGTATCCACCACCAGTTGGGAGATTCGTTTTTTATCGCTTTCCAACATGAAAGTGGGCAGGGGGCTTCCCGAAAAGAAAGTAGTCTTTCAAAGCCCTCCGATCGTCAGGTTCCGTGATTGGAGGGAGGGTATCAACCAGTCAGATCGAGTTTCATCATATAGCTGGTGCCATGTTCTCAAATGCAGGAGGGAATGGATGGTAAGGTTCATTCTCATATTCCCTACGCAAATAAATCCCAGTCACCCATGTATGTAACCAGCCATGTTTGCTTTTAAAGGCAGTTCCCTTGGCTACCATATCTTACAAATCTCCTGGTAGCTCCTTAGGCAAATATTTGCATACCTTCCAACCACCAGCTAGTGAATTACCTTCTATATACTACCAAAATGGCTTTGGGCAGAAGCAAGCAAGCGAGGGGCTACTCTCGTCGCACCCCCTCCCAGCCCATTGAAGCTCTCGGCGCACGCATGGCTCTCCCCCATGGTGACAAGGTCGCTTCCACCGGAGGAATTCCCACTCGCAACTCGACTCGACTCCTTTGGAGTCGATTCTCTGGAGATCCGCTCCCTCTTTGTCTCAGACCCTTTGCGTCGTCTGAGACGTGTCTCATGTTCTTCTTCGTGGAAGGGAAGAGATTCTGCCTCCCGTTTTTCGCTACCGAAGTGAGCCACTGAAGGCTTGCGCGCAAGTTGAGAGAGCCATGCGGCCAGGGGGGAGATGAGCATCTCAGTCCCCCAAAAAACGCGTCTTTTGCCCGGTGGTTTGGAGCCCGGTGGCTTGGAGGTTTGGAGCCCGGTTTCCACTTGCCCTCAAAAGCCAAGGGGTGAAATCCCCACACCACCAATCCAAACCAAGGGATACCTGATAAGAAATCCGTCCCGCCTGCTCAGTGCAACTGAAATTTAGTGAGTTCTGATGTTCCGAGCCCCGATTTTACTATAATTCGATATGTGTTGAGAATCCTCAGCTCTGTAAGGGCCTAAATCCTTAGAATAGAGTGTTGGGTGTGTTGTACGCCAAGCTTAGACATGATAGGAGCCAACTACTCAGAGTTGCTAGCCTCTGATATTGCTAACTGCCATATTCACAAACGTTAGCCAAGAAATCCGAACGCAAGGCACCTCGTCGCGTTCACCGAGCGTGCCCGTGGGCGCCGACCTAACTCCTTTGGTTCCCTTGGGAAGCCTTGCAATCGAGAGGTTGACGACAGCCTCCAACCCCAAGAATTGAATTGTGGTTTGACAATGAACCTCACATACGAATCAAAGTCCGCAACCCTCCAAATGGTTGGCTGCACCTTGGCCGTGCGCTCAACCACGGAGAAGCCAGGGTCAAATGTCTCAAGGTTGAAAGTGACTTATGTTTCGCCGATCTCTCAAAACCCAACCGTTCCTCCGGGGTGGTTTGTGTAAATAGGGAATCAACATGGGGCAGTGCCTAAGCCTCTGCACAAAACCC